ATTTTCTCCAGCTCCCAACAATAATATTCACATAAATTTGGCAAATATAAGAGGAACGTCGTAGTTTGGTTTAAAGAACACATTTTAGTTTCATTATAATTAAGTTTGGATTTTACAGTTTGAAGAAATAGAAAATGACACCATACCAACCATCACAAGGATGTGCATGACAAGGAAGGGCTATATATACTGCATGAATCAGTCAAGTGGTTAACATTGTATTACTTCTTGAGCACCTTGAGTTATTTACTGTCACAGGTTGGGGCTTCGGCCGGAGAGTAAGTGTTGCGGCCGGTAGGCCAGTTTTAGTGGTTGGACCAAGAATGGATCTAAAAGTTGCAGGATAGCAGTCCTCAGGAACTGGAATTACCCACCCCTGCCCTAGAGGCTAAACTGCTGGAGGTGGAAAGACAGCAGAGGAGAGAAGCCTGCCAGGCTGGAGGTAGGCGAGTGAGACAGCTCTAGGACTATTGTTAGGTTCAAAAATGTAGGTTCGTAAAAGAGGAACTCTTTTAGGAGTCCACACAGAAAAGTGATTTTTAGCAGCTTCTGCAGAAGGAGAGAGCAACACCCAACTCTCTAACGGACTTCCTCTGCAGAGCCTTTTTATTAGCAGTTCATAACACACGGGGTGGCTTTCAAAACAAAGTGTTCTTCTGATAAGGAAATTGATCAAGTCACAGGACAGAATGCTCCTCTGAGTGAATCACAGAACAGAGTGCTCTTCTGATAACTGTGATTTAGCCTTGCACAAACATCAGTAATTTTCTGCCAACGTTGCATGACAGTTTGCAGTAAACAAGTGAAGCATCTCATTTCCTCAATGTTTTATATGCACACACATTCTCTTTATAATCATCATTGAATAAACCTTACAACTATATTAAAATGGCTTATTTTAAAGCCCCTCACAAACATCTTAAACAACTTATCTCATACTTGGTAAACATTTTCTGTAATGTCCATTTTGATTATGATACTTTCATGGCTCCCTAATTCTATACTTAATAATACAATCTCAGTGTTTATAAGACAACAGGATTAAAGGATTTATGGATTTGATGCTTGAATCGGTGATCAACAGGTACTGATATTTAGCAGATACTGATTTTTATGATTTGCCATAAAACAAACGCTGTGGCAAATCACCTGTTCGAGATGGTTTGACTTCAATGTTCATAAGTTTTTCTGGAAAGACAAAATCATTCAAAGACTTAGATTATGTTGAAAATTATAATTTAATGGCAGCTATGAAACAAGGACTCATTACATTATTACAAAAACCAAGAAAAGACTAAAGATATTGATAATCCAAGGCCAATAACTTTATCAAACATAGATTACAAACTATTCACCATTATATTCTCCAATCGACTGGAAACTGATTTGGAACAGATAGTGTGTGAAACCCAATCAAGATTAATTAAGGATTGGTCATAGTATAAGGTTGGTACTAGACTTTTGTTTTTTAAAGATAAAGGCTTTGTTTGTTGTGTTTTTGGTTCTACAGAGCTTTTGACTCTATAGAATATCCCTCAACTCTTTAGAATAT